TAGCTAGGTAGGTAGAAAAATAGATAGACAGATTCGGAGTTCAAGTAATTTAAATGCCCCGTATGACTAATAAATGTTTCGAAAGTTTACCGAGTATATATTTTAATTTCGCGCCAACTTCATTTATCTTTCACATATGAATAACCTTATCCCTCATAACAAATTACTGGCTATAAGTTGCGTTGCTGAAATTAAACCATACACCATAAATATCTTAATATGGAGATTGATTAATAAATTCATTGACTATATAATAACCAGAAGAGCAGTGTCCGTTAAGAAAAACCAGTGATAATATCCTAACTGTACAATGTAACGTTACAAAAGGAACTTTAGAACATGTATCAAATGTATTAGAGTTTACCCGTGTAGGAACATTCAGCTAGGAAAGTAAATAAATGTCAAATAAAGTCAGTTAGAGGATTCTGGGGCGCCCTGAGTCAACCTGAAGTGATATTATGGTATAAAACTGACCACCTCGACAGTGATCCTTGAAGTATAATAACCTCATGTAGGTTCTAGAGATGATTTCCTGCTAATAACCAGTCGTTATGAACAGCTAACCTGGCGTATTGTTTATACTATTTTCTTTTCCGTTTTGTGTTCATTTGTTTCTACTTTAAGGATCTCTGGCCTGTTATGGCATCACAAGTAAGGAAGATACACGTTATATTCTTATGACGAAGAAGGAGACACATACTAAGACATAAGTTGAGTTCTGTTATTCGCACTTTCTTTTAAGTCTGTTATTCGCACCGGGTTGCGGTGATGTTATACAGACTCGGATGGGCTCTTCAAAGTCCCTGAAGAACCTACATCAAGGAAAGATACTCTCTATCTACCTGTCTACCCATTAGTGTATCTTGTTCTGCCCCTCTCTCTCTCTCTCTCTCTCTCTCTCTCTCTCTCTCTCTCTCTCTCTCTCTCTCTCTCTCTCTCTCTCTCTCTCTCTCTCTCTCTTCCCTTTATCTCTCACCAATCTGGATGCTCAGTGATTCGGCCTGTTCGAAGCAACTTTTCAGAAGTTGCTTCTTCTACCGAGTCATGGCCATTATCTTAACACTATTATTCAACCGAACGAAATCTCTGCTCAAGTTTTATATTCTTTGGAGTAAGATTTACTTTTCGGTCATATTCATATGGAACAATATCTCTTGAAGTTCGTCAACTGAGAATAAACCTGAAGTAGAAATGAAACTGAGGTGGACATGTTCCTCGCGCGGCACAGAGCGTGATAAGACTGTAAGGGGTTCGATCCCACCCTCTGGGTATCAGAATATCTACGTTTGCTTGAGGGACGTACTTGATCGTGCAGCTTCTTCTCATTATCAAATCGATTCTGCTAAGCGTATCTGTTCTGACTGCCTATCGCTTGCAACGAGACATCTGCAACATTTTAGGTCTTCAGCGCATAAACATTGGAAAATGACATTTTTAAAAATCGAAGAATTAAATCCACGTTTCTTCACGGCCTTCCTTCACTGGCACGGCTCGGGACGCTTTTTTTCCTTTCGGTTTTAGGCGCTCTCAAGGCTGCGTTGATTTGGAGTGATAGACAAGAAAGTGAAGAGGCGGGTGTGGGTATATATACATATGTGCTTCACTTATTAAAAATGTACATTTATATTCATATATATGTGTATATATATATATGTATGTTTATACGTATTTATGTATGTATATGTACTTCATCACCCCTACTGTATCTATCAGTTTCGCTTACGAATATCGCATTTCTGGTCTGCGCTTCACATCTTCAGCTGGAAAGCATACAAGCTGGCCCGATCAAGTTTGCTAAGCGACCTGCTATTTTTGCCTTCTGGAGCTTTCGACACATTTTTTTTTTCTTTTTTTTTTAACGTACATATTTGTCTTCTCTACACACATCACACAGCCCTATTCATGAAAACACAAACGCGTGACTTGCAACATCATCCAAAACAACAGAAAGAAGATCTGTCACCAAGTCAGGGAAATCTGCGCTCCTGCAAACCGATTTTCCATACAGCTCATTCCATTTCATTGATGACAGAGGATGTGGCATGAATGAGTGATGTTCTTCTCATACTTCGTAAGGTAACCGGGGATGTGGAAGCTGAGTGATGCAATGCAGCGGAGTGATGCAATAATGCTAGTTGCCGTCACTGAAAGCTATCGCATAATCTTGCATTGCTGAAAGGACACGTGGAGGCCTGCAACATAGCTTTAAGTTTTCACGGTGATGTCTATTCTTTCGCAGATTCTCATGTTGCAAAGAGATTTTTCGGCGAAGATGTACTTGGCAAGAGAAAGCTGTGATGGCATTAGATTTTCTTCCAGTCTGGAGCATAGGTGTCTCTATCTATCTACCGATCTATAATCTGTCTATTAATATGTGTATCTTAATCTTCCCATGTCTATTTTCTCTTTGTGAATCTCGCTCTTTCTCTTTGTGTCTATCTGTCTGTCTGTCTCTCTCTTTCTCTCTCTCTTTCTCTCTCTCTCTCTCTCTCTCTCTCTCTATCTCTCTCTCTCTCTCTCTCTCTCTCTCTCTATATATATATATATATATATATATATATATATATATATATATATATCCTGATCTCAATCTCTCCCTCTCACTCCCTGTACCCCTATATATCTGTCTCTTTAAATACCATCCTATTTGTCAATTTCTCTCTCTCTCCAAGAGAAGTTAGGCCAGCGTAAGCTTCTGTCTTTTAGGTGACCTCTCGGGTTCTGAGACGAAATAGAAAGAATAACTTTGCTTTCAGAACTTCCACTGGATATCCAATTTTAGTTTGCCGAGTGTATTTATTGCCCAGCAGTTTATGTGTATTTTGACATCTTTTATCCCCAGGTGCAGTAACCACCAAGACAGCTGATTTCTAACCTCCATTTCCGAACAGGCCTGGTGCTGAAGGACATTATCGAGAAGTACTTCGTTTCCCCGACGTTGCTTCGAGTGGTTCGCGTGGCGAAGGTGGGGCGAGTCCTGCGTCTGGTAAAGGGAGCCAAGGGTATCAGGACGCTCCTCTTCGCCTTAGCCATGTCCTTGCCCGCGCTCTTCAACATCTGTCTGCTGCTTTTCCTCGTTATGTTCATCTTTGCAATCTTCGGCATGTCATTCTTCATGAACGTCAAACACACTGGGGCCTTGGACTCTGTTTACAACTTCGAGACGTTCTTCCAGTCTTTCATTTTGCTGTTCCAAATGATGACGTCAGCTGGGTGGGATGGTGTACTTTCTGGCATTATCAATGAGAGGGACTGCCGGCAGCCTGATCCGGAGACCGGCGATCCTGGTAACTGTGGTAGTCAACCCATTGGTATCGCTTACCTAATGGCCTACCTGGTAATGACCTTCCTCATCATTATCAACATGTACATCGCTGTCATCCTCGAGAATTACTCCCAGGCAACAGAAGATGTGGAAGAAGGTCTCACCGACGATGACTACGATATGTACTATGAGATCTGGCAGCAGTTCGATCCCAAAGGCACACAGTTTATCGAATTCTCTGCTCTCTCTGACTTCATGGATGTACTAGAGCCTCCCCTTCAGATTCACAAGCCAAACAAGTACAAAATCGTGTCAATGGATATCCCCATTTGCAAAGGAGACCTTGTATTCTGCGTTGATATCCTTGATGCATTGACTAAGGACTTCTTCGCTCGTAAAGGTAATCCAATTGAAGACTCTGGCGATATGGGTGAAGTAGGACCTCCTACAGACAGGCCTGGATACGAACCAGTGTCCTCAACGCTATGGCGTCAACGTGAAGAATACTGCGCTCGACTAATACAACAAGCGTGGCGCAAACACCGACAGCATAAGGATTTTTCTTCGCTATCTGGAACAGATTCCCAAGAAGATATCAAGCAAGCAGATACCGCCGTCCTGGTGGAAAGTGATGGATATATAACAAAAAACGGCCATAAGGTGGTGATTCACTCGCGATCACCATCGTTGACGTCACGGTCCACAGATGTGTGACTGAAAAAGGCGAGTAAATAAGTTGTTGCTTTTTATCTACTAACAGGAGCCAGTTGTGAATAGCCTTGCTGGAAGGTGGCTGGCATGACGGTCGGCTGCCAGGTGAAAAGGCTTGGCTAAATCCCACAAGGCTCTGGCATTAGCTATATTTAAATCCGCCATTAACGAACAGTTTACCTTTTGGTGTTGGCGGTTGGACCACTCTTGCTCGGGAACACTTCACTCCTAATGCCTTGTTGTTTAAGTTTACAGTCCAACTGTCCTCATCAGCTTCCCGATCTTCGAGTGCCGCGCCCTCTGTGCAGATATTACTGGCCTAAGTGATTCACTATATGTTTATTTTTGTATTTAACATTCTGAATGATTATTAGGCCCTTAGTTACCCGTCTTGGTACTGCTGCTGGGTTCAAGCGAGGCTGGGTGCGCCTGCTCTTCACGACTATCACTCTTAGTTGGCGCGGAGGTGACACGAAGCCTGATGACACTGCCACCCATGGCCGCCCACACACGCCCACGCTCACAGTATTGTTAACACCCGGTGTATGAAGCACCGACAACACCACATCCCATCCCCGAGGACGGCCAGGGTGTGCACCAGACCGAGGCAGCAGTAAAACAAACGGAAAAGTGGGAAGAAACAATCCAGCGCCATGAGGGGGTTGTGTCATGGAGTGACTGTGTACATACGTTGCGCAGGCGGGCGGAGTGGTGCTTAGTGTTCCTACGTGACATGGAAAGGGCTCGTAGAATGCGCATATTCCATCGGCAACAATATGAGTTCTCAGCAAGTATTAGAGAGAAAAATAAAACACCAACAGCATAATTCAAACCATACTCAACAGTGTGATACACAATGCCTTTATATAAGTGCAAGCCGTGCATAATGTAAATAGCATGGAGGAACTTGTATTGTAAATGAGTCTTAAGATCGCGCCACCCAGCCCTAACCTCCATCCTGCTACCTAACCCCACCCATTGTTTTCCAATCCTACACATCCCTCTCCCGCATCCTTCCCTTTGTTAATCACCTTTTTTATCTTCCTTTTCCTCCCATCACCATGATAGTGTATCGAAAGGAACCCTCTCAATAAGGTTATCCATTCTGGTTGCTCAGCGTCTTGTTTGCTATCGTCTCTACCTCTTCCTCGTGGTTTTTAAAGGATATGTGACAGTATTCCTGCAAAACTTGATCTTGCACTTTCTGAAGCACAATCAATGCTGTTTGTTGACTATTTTATCATTGTGCATGTCCATACGTTCATTAACTTCCCCGACGGTTGGACATAGCCATTCATATTTTCTGTACTGAGTGTATGTTCACAGGCAATAATTTGATGATTTTGAACAGAATTTTTTTCTCAGTCGTAACCTCAGCATTTTCATTGTCAGTTCACGGTTGTTGAGTGAATGTTTATGTCAACTTCCCTACGCCTGCTGTTCTTTTGAGGAGTGTGAGTAGTACATTTACATTCCATCGAGGGAATCGCGTTGGTGATGTTGGTGCTGCGTGTCTCCTTCTTCCCCATGCGGAGGCTCTGGCGAATGGCGTCACCTAATGCGAAATCGCAGCATTGCTCAAAATTTCTCATCTACTTTTTTCAGTGCCTTGTTTGAAAGTGTCAGTCGATACAGATGTTGGAGTGCTTACTAACTGTAACAGCACTTTTCCTCTCTTTTAAGTCGACGGTAAGAGCAAATTTGATTATCAGCAGTATCGTGGCGCTAAAAGATACAGAACAATCAGCATGATGATCTTATTAGAAAATTATATGGCAATAAAGTTGAGAACTGAAACTCGAGGAAGAGGTAAGAGGTCAACAGACAGACACGGTGCTGGTCTGAGGGCGGCGAGGGACGTTCTTCCCTGAGAGCGGTGAGCAGTACCCGCTGCGTCCTCTTCCCCCCCTGTGACGTGGTATAACTCCGCCCCTCTCGCCTGCCGTGCCGCATTCACAAGTCCTGTAGCCTGTGGTTGTTGATCTTATGATGGGTGTCAGGCTTCATATCCCCAGTGTCTGTATCTTGGGTTGGAAAAAATTCTTAGCATCTGCATTAATTCAGCAGATAATTTCTTGATAGCCTAACCCTTCGATACACATCGTAACTATGTAAAATAAGGGTATTGTTGAAAATTTTACTATGAACCTTCTCAAGTGATTGGTTATTAATTGGATTGTATTCTATGCCATGATAATACTCCAGGCTTGACTGTGCTGGCGCGAGTGGGCATGGTGCCACTATGGCAGCCAATCAACGAGCGACTCTGTTTCCCTCCAGGGCGGCACGCCGCCCCTTGTTTGTAGTAGGTGATGGTAGGTCAGTGCAGGCCCCTGAGGGCCTCGCTCTCAGTGTATTGTCCACCGCTACACCGCTCGGCCATCACACGGCACTCTGCCCTCTCGACCATACAACAACGGCTTGTAACTGCAGACACTAACTTTTAAGAGACAGTGCTGTGAAACTCCTTCAGATTTGTACATCTCTTTGTTTGCAACATGGAGTGCCCCACCGGAGCTCACGGCTCTCCACACCTCATCCATATTCTACACTAAATTATTCTGCCGTTGTCGATGGGGCACTCGCAAGCACTCGGTTATCATTCTTTTGGTTAATATCCACTTGTGATACCAATTATGTAATATTCAAACTGTTATATTCTTGATATACAAATTTGTTTTCTATTCTCAAGTTTGCAATGAGATGTAATAGTTTAAAGCTACGCCCTTTTGTAAGTTAACCCGCGGAGAGCAAGGGAGACTCGCAGAGGTGGCGGCACCTGCTACACCTCTTCCCCACGTGTAGTAGGTCTGCCATCTGGAGAACTTTGGTCCGGATGATGTGTATAGGCACGAACGATGCGCTTTTTTTAAGTCTATCAGTTTTTATTTTTTTACTCCCTTGCCTTCTGCATTAACAAGTGTGTGACAACGACAAGGCTATTTACTTCAAGCTTGCGTCAAATTATGTGGTTTGCGGAGATTACACGAACGACAGCGAATGAGTTGCCAGAACTCACTCACGACGTCGCCAGGACGGTGTTCTACCATGGTGTTCCGGTTCCATGAAGCTACTGTTGTCGTGTGGCTGTGGAGATGCACGTTAGATGACAACCGAGAGAACGCGGGCTTTGATGGCTGCATAAACTGAAATTACCAAATACATGGAATCTGTGGCGCTTTGGTATTTGTAGATAGTTAAGTTGATCACTGACTCGAAGGAGACAGATGAAATAAACCAAAAAGAGATATCTCTAGATCCATGGGAATATACCGACTAATAAACTGTGCCCTTGAAGATCAGTCAAAAATAAGGAACAGATGATGGTCCATGTGCAAAAATTGCAAGGAGAATCACCAACAGAACACGAAGATTCCCCAAGAATACAGAAGGCGGTGAGAAAATCCAACCACGAGCGAGACGCACTGAGGACCTCTTAACACCACTTCGGCAGTGACCTCTCTCACTCCTTCCTTGGAGTCTTCATTCGTGCCAGGGACATGGGCGAACGAGAGACCAAAACAAATGTTCTCTTGTTGATTTCGATGCTCATGTTGGCTGATATTGTATTGGCCACCATCGTCAGTGTCAGCCGGACTGCTGTAGCTCTGTTATGAATCGCCAATCACTAGTTGACTGTATGCTTCGTCAATCTTTCAAAATACTTACGACTGAAGGACTGAGTCCACTAAAAATAAAAAAAAGGATGTCAAGTTTAGTTTACAAAACACCACGCCAAGGAAGCTTTGATGATGGGAGGCACCGTCTCTTGGAGCGGAGATTGCTAGATGCTTGTACTAGTACCCTGCACAACACTCACTCAGCGCGTTATTATGAAAATTAAGCTCTGGAAGTTTTCTTTATCCAAAAACTTTAAGAATCATTGTAGCTTGCTTAGAAATTGCAAACAAAAATGTATCATGATGTTCTTCACATACTCTCAACAATGTACCAACGATCATCCTGTGTGAGAACTTGGTGTTGTAGCCCGGTGGCTGGCATGTAAAGTATGCTGATGTAAATGTGCGACATGTCATGTATACTGATGTGCACCTCCTGACATACCAGACATACTGATGTGTAGTTACTAACATATTAGTTACACTGTTGTGCTGATGCAGACATACCAAACACATTGTGTAGTTAACATACTGGATACACGGTAGAGACGGTTATATTGATGCACAGACAATGACATATCGGGGACACTGTTGTGTGATCATTAGCATACCAGTTGCCTTATTTAGTTGATAAATGCTAGTACTCCATGTTTCAGATTCAGAAACTAGAAGTTCGTATTTTTTATTTATAGTTACATAGTTGCACAGTAAGAAAACATTGCATATAGATCCACAAGTATAATGATGCCTATTAATTAAACAGCTGTGTAGTTATTCTAAAGGATGCCCCCGTGCAGCTATAGACATGCTAGTTGCACCAATGCGCAGTCACTATCATTATTAATTTTATGAATATTGGCATAACGTTATCTTCCTATGCAATGCTAATATTTTTTTCACGTTTTGATTTTTTTAATACATTGAATTATAATGCTATTTAGTAAGTCACACTGCTTCAAGTAAGACATAGTGGCATACCGAATACACGTTTCAGTAAAACACAAAGACGGCTTACATTTGTACATCTGCAGATCACAAAAAGTGAATTTTAACAGTAGTTAACTGGGTCCTCAGTTGTGTTGTTAGTAACAGGAACATATACTTCTTTTCATTTCTAGCTATATAAACTCAAAGTCTGCTGTTCTGGTATTTTCGTTTAGCACACAAAGTGTACTGCCATGTTATACTAACACACATGGTGTGATATTCTGCTATGCTAACACATTGTGTGTCTTGTCTGCACACCATGTATACTGTTATGTTGTACTAACACAAGGTGCGTTGTTATGCTATGCTAACACATAAGCGTTTTGTCTGCACACCATGTGTACTGCTATGTTGTATAATTACATTAGGCTCATTGCCTTCATATTCCATTTTAAAAATGTGTTATATGGCTACAGTGCCACATCATGTGTATTTACTATGTTGTATTAACACACGAGGTGCGCTGCTGTGTTATATCAGTACATGGAATACATTTTTGCAATGCTCTCACTCGCTGCTTCGATGCCTTTCTTTGTCAGTTTTGAGAATTAATTGCCATATTATACCAGCAGAGGATTGCCTTGCTGACCTAGACTTAGAGTTGACAGTCAAGCACGTGATCGGTGCTATGGTATGGCAGTGCATCGGGATAACCTAAGTTCATCTCAATTACATGGCTAATGTCATGTCTTATCTCATGTCATGGGGGTTTCGATATGTTGTTCTTTAGTAGTCCTGGTTTCTTATCCAAGTTTTTGTTTTTTTGTATTTTTTTTCCGAATCTCATTTTGTATTCTGTATTCGTTGTATTGTTCTACGTACTGTTTAACATGACAGGGAACCCGGTGTTAGGTGATGGCTACAGAGAAAGGAAAAAAATAATAATTATATATATCCGTGGGGATGTAGTTACAAGGTATAATGCTGTGTAGTATCTATCACAACAGGTATGCTAATAAACTATATTTTCATGGTCCCTCCAACGCAAAATTATTCGAAAGTCTGCGGGAGTGTACATTGTTTGGCATTCGTCTACGTTCATCATAGCATTCATTAAATGAGGACAAATCTATGTTGATGTGAGAGCGGAAAGGGTCTCATTTCAAGGAATAATGAATGTAACCTTTTGTCACTGCTCGTTAGGAATGTTGACCATGTATGTTCCCGCAGCAGTGCATGCGGCGCGCTTGCTAGACTGACCAGGAGAACCCGACCACTCTGTTATGGTCTCCGCAAACACATGCCTGCCGTTGGTAGCCAAGTGGTATACTACTAATAACCCTAATAAACAAATGGCATTACTTTCATTCTACATTCAGCCTTTTTGCTTGCACTTTGTATAATGTTTTGAATTTCACAGTTTGTACCATATTATCTGTAAATAATACGTCATCGAATAAATTTTTGATAATTTACCACGAAGAAAAAGAAGAGTTTTATTTCCTTCGCATTCGGCAATATTCACGTTTTAACACAAATGTGCTGCACTTCAACACAAAGGCAATACACTTTCACAGTTCGTTGTCTCAGTATACAGAACAAACATACTTTGAATGTTTGCGAGATTTGAAAAGATCTCAAAGGATATTTAGTTTTGTAAATAACTGCAAATCATGTATGTGCGTGTGTGTATTATATATACATATTATTTGTATGTGTTTATGTACATATGTGGTATTCGTAAATATGAATATATGTATATATATATTAAAACATATATACGTATGTAAATGTTATGTATGAATCTATCAGTTGACAGTACAAATATACGCAAACATTAACGGCACAAAGTTAGGAGAAAAAATAACATAGATAAAAAAAATAATAATAAATAACGTAATATAAGAATAACACAAACCACGATAAACAAAATGGAAAAAAACGAAAATAACCAGCAGTTCAGCGACCGTCGATTTCTCCCAAACACACGTAAAAGGCTTTCAGTGTGTAGTAGTTGTTGGCGGTGAGTACGGCCTCTTTAAAAGACCATCTGTGTGTTGCTGTAATGTTGAGTAATTCACATGTACATCTGTTCGCACAAGACTTTACGATGTACGTGTTGCATGGTTCATTAAAGGTAGTAAGGTAATTGCTATGTGCATGTGTTTATTTTAAAATAGGTCTTGCGGTATGGATATTTTCGCGACATTTAGAATTAAGATTTTTTTTTTCTTTTTTTTTAACATGTACAGGTAAGGCGTGGTTTACTAATTGCTTGGCCTGTTTGAGGGCGTTCTTTTTTTTTTTCTTTTCTTTTTTTTCTATTTCGACGATGATCCTTTTTTTTTCGTTCGGAAGTGTATATTTGCTTGTTTGGAAACCAGATCGCGGTGCTCTTTCGTTCTTGTGTGAGAGTGTATGTACAGATATTCCAATTTATATGCCTTTACTTACGTATGCAAGTACATATATCCATACAAACATAAATACAAACATAACCACAGACACACACACTCGCACACACACAAAAACACACACACACTATATATATACATATATATATATATATATATATATATATATATATATATATATATATATATATATATATGTATATGTATATATATACATATATATACTACACATCCGCAGTATATACGTTTGTGTATATATGTACATTTATAAATACACAGTTTTGTACGCTCGTGGGCATGGTGTGGTGCAAAATTTCTCACTCATTAATATTAATTTCTTCATATTTGAAAACGACGATTTACCTGGTCATTTCTTTTACTTTTTTGCATAAATGTACTTTTCGTTAAACTCAAAAGAAAGCGACCGATTCAAATCAAGATATTATAGATGAAAAAAAAATTATTATGGTAATTTTGATAATAATGTTAACGTAAGTAATGAAAATAGTGATGGTAATGATAATGCAAAATGAGTCTGCTTTAAACAATAGTAATAATAATTTTGATTATTATCATCATCATTATTACAATTATGAAGAGCAAATTACAGTGAAAATAATGACCATAACGTAATAATCTTGATAGCAACAAAATCCAAAATTGAGACATTCTATAAATTCAATTCACGGTCGCGATAGACAAAAGTTAGTCACCACCAGCTCCCAGATGGTATCTGATGATGAGTAAATACACTATCATATTTTTCATTATGTACATACATATATATATGTGTGTATCTGTATGTATATATATATATATATATATATATATATATATATATATATATATATATATATATATATATATATATATATACATGTATGTATGTATATATATGTGTGTGTGTGTGGGTGGGTGCGGGCGTGAGTGTGCATTATTTTATGTATTTAAATAAGACTATAAAATGATAACAGGAATGATAATATAAATATACAGAACACTTTATAGTGTACAATTAACAGACATACACATATTTGTTTGCATATGCATACTTACATGCATATATACATATATATGTATGTGTAGATATGTACATACATAAATCATATACCATACAGGCAACTCGAAATGTAACGGCCCATTTAAAAAAATAATAATAAACAAACTTAAAAGAGAATGCCTAAGTCTGCCCTTAAAAATTACCACCTCGGGGGATGTGGAAAGGAAAACGACTCTCCACCCCATCCACCCCTATCTCTCTTGGATGCAGATGTTGGCCTACACATAAACACCAGGTCATGCAGTATTTGTGCAGGAATATAAACAGCATATACGATATCATAGTGTATTTTTTGTTCTTTGTTTTACTGGAGTCAATTGGGAGATTAATATGCTTAAGAAATGCCTCCTTATTTTGCTTATCCAAGATGAGACATTTGTTATTTTGAAGAATGAAGGTCGGTTTTGTAAGCCTGGTAATGTTAAAGCATGAGTTAGATTTTCTTCTGAGTATCTGCAATGCATATTCATATCGAGACCATTATCTGAATAGCTCAATATGGTATCGAGTTTATTTTTAATTTACAATAGTCATTAACATAGCAGGCTTAATTATTCCAGCATGGTAATGCATTTGAGTATAAATTCCAAATTTTGTCTTATGGTTAGAAATCCATTTGATTCTTTCCCATTCATTGAATATGATATTCGATTTGCAATATTCGATGACTAATTACCTTCTTCGTCCAGGTCTGGTGCTGAAGGACATCATAGAACGCTACTTCGTGTCCCCGACGTTGCTTCGAGTGGTCCGCGTGGCGAAGGTGGGGCGAGTCCTGCGTCTAGTGAAGGGAGCCAAGGGCATCCGAACGCTCCTCTTCGCCTTAGCCATGTCCTTGCCCGCGCTCTTTAACATCTGTCTGCTGCTCTTCTTGGTTGTATTTATCTTTGCAATCTTCGGCATGTCATTCTTCATGAACGTCAAACACACTGGGGCCTTGGACTCTGTTTACAACTTCGAGACGTTCTTCCAGTCTTTCATTTTGCTGTTCCAAATGATGACGTCAGCTGGGTGGGATAGTGTACTTTCTGGCATTATCAATGAGAGGGACTGCCGGCAGCCTGATCCGGAGACCGGCGATCCTGGTAACTGCGGTAACCAAGCCATCGGTATAGCCTACCTAATGGCCTACCTGGTAATGACCTTCCTCATCATTATCAACATGTACATCGCTGTCATCCTCGAGAATTACTCACAGGCAACAGAAGACGTGGAAGAAGGTCTCACCGACGATGACTACGATATGTACTATGAGATCTGGCAGCAGTTCGATCCCAAAGGCACACAGTTTATTGAATTCTCTGCTCTCTCAGAATTTTTGGACGTGTTAGAGCCTCCTCTTCAGATTCACAAGCCAAACAAGTACAAAATCGTGTCAATGGATATCCCCATTTGCAAAGGAGACCTTGTATTCTGCGTTGATATCCTTGATGCATTGACTAAGGACTTCTTCGCTCGTAAAGGAAACCCAATTGAAGACTCTGGGGATATAGGTGAAGTAGCACCTCCTACAGACAGGCCTGGTTACGAACCAGTGTCCTCAACGCTATGGCGTCAACGTGAAGAATACTGCGCTCGATTAATACAACAAGCGTGGCGCAAACACCGGCAGCATAAAGACCTTTCCTCACTCTCGGGAGCTGATTCCCAAGAAGACTTCAAGCAAGCAGATACCGCCGTCCTGGTGGAAAGTGATGGATATATAACAAAAAACGGCCATAAGGTGGTGATTCACTCGCGATCACCATCGTTGACGTCACGGTCCACAGATGTGTGACTGAAAAAGGCGAGTAAATAAGTTGTTGCTTTTTATCTACTAAAAGGAGCCAGTTGTGAACAGCTTTACTGAAAGGCTATTGACACACAGTCGTTTGCTAAGTGAAAAAAGCTCGACTAGAGGTCCCACAAGGCTCTGATATTAAATATATGTAAATCCGCCGTTAACGAACAGTTAACCTCGTTGGTGTTGGCGGTTGGACCACTCTTGCTCGGGAACACTTCACTCCTAATGCCTTGTTGTTTAAGTTTACAGTCCAACTGTCCTCATCAGCTTCCCGATCTTCGAGTGCCGCACCCTCTGTGCAGATATTACTGGCCTAAGTGATTCACTATATGTTTATTTTTGTATTTAACATTCTGAATGATTATTAGGCCCTTAGTTACCCGTCTTGGTACTGCTGCTGGGTTCAAGCGAGACTGGGGGATAGTCTTCGCGACTCCCACTCGTAGCTGGCGCGGAGGTGACGAGAAGCCTGATGACACTGCCACCCATGGCCGCCCACACACGCCCACGCTCACAGTATTGTTAACACCCGGTGTATGAAGCACCGACAACACCACATCCCATCCCCGAGGACGGCCAGGGTGTGCACCAGACCGAGGCAGCAGATGAGAAAGAAGCGGAGTTGTGGGTGGAAAGCCACGCAGCGCCATGAGGGGGTTTCATCACAGAGGAAACTGTGTACATAGTGCAGGGGGGCGGAGTGGTGCTCACTGAACCTACGTGATATGGAAAATACCCTGGACATGCGCATTTTCCACCAGCAAAAGGACATGTTCTTGACAAGTATTAGAGAATCTTCGAACTGCATAATTAACCAAGTTCATGAACTGTGTGATACACAATGCCTTTACAGGAGTGCATAATGTAAATAACGGGTGCACAGTATGGTAGAATCTGTTCGTTAGGCGTCTTCATGGACAACCAGCCACCCGTCCTCCCCAGTCCTCATCCTCTGCTCTTTCTCCTTCAACTTCACCTTAGCGCCCTGGTCTGTCCTTCAATCTCATCACACTCAGCCTCCCATTCCATCCGTTACTTCTTTTATAAATCAGCATGCAACTTTGCCCATTCTTTGCATCATTGCCCACTCCTTTGTTTCAGCGTTCATTTACCCCTTTTTTTTCTTCGCTTGACTCTTCCTTTGTACGTGGAAGGCACTGCATGACCGGCCTGCACTGAGCCAATTCCCCTGGCGCAGTGCAGTCGGACCTTACAGTGAC